GGGGACGGGGGGCATGCTGGCCTCATGGGCTTGGGGGCCTACAGCAGCCTCACCTTCAGCATCATGCCTCTTCCACACAGCATTTCCATGCAGGCCAGGGGATGGGAGGGGTCCCTGAGCCCTTCCCTTCCCCTCTAAGGAGGAGCAGAGGAACAGAGTGGGGAAGCCGAGCGGCAGTTCCCTTGGGGGCTTAGCCCAGGTGCTTCATAACTGCAATCGGAAGTGCAGGAGCTGGTCAGAGCCAATGAGAAGGAAACCTCATCTTTGCATAGCCCATGCCTCGTGGAGAGGTGATATCATACATTCACATGCTTCTCACCTAAGTCCCCAGGGTCCAAGGGAGAAGCCCCAGACCCCCTTCTCTTGCAGAGTGTGGGGGGTGGTGGTGCTGCAGGGGCAGGGCTGGGTGGGGGTCACCAGACTTTCTGCCCTTGGGGCAGTACGGCTGGCATTTGTTTTATAGACTCTTGTCTTTGGAATTGGGGGGAGGGGGGAGTGTTTCAATCTGTTATATGTTCTGTGTTTAATGAAGGAAACCTATTTATTAATGAAAAATATAATAAGAATTTGGCTCCATTTTTGTTTCTGTTTTCTTTGGTTGTTATACTTGTTTTCGTCTTTTTTCCTTTTTGTGGAGAACGGGGTCTCGCTATGTTACTCAGGCAGATCTTGAACTCCTGGGCTCAAGCTATCCTCCCACCTCTGCCTCCTTAATAGCTGGGATTACAGGCGGGAGCCACCCTGCTGGGCCCTTTGGCTGATGATAATGAGAGAAGAGCTGTCCTGGGGCCCTTTCTGTGGGCTGCAAACAGGCTGCCTCCACCATTCCCCAGCTCCTCCAAGAAAGAACTTCTCTTTTCCCCCATCCCCTGCTGCAGCCCCACCCAAGACCTACTAAACCAAGGAAGAGCTCCTTAGCCCTAGAGCAGGGGAGTGGGGTTCTCAACCCTGGAACTATTGACATTTTGGACTGGATAATGATTTGTTGTGAGGCACTGTTCTATGCAGACTAAGATGTTTAGCAATGTCCCTGACATCTGCTGGATGCTAGATGACAGCACCCTACTCCCCAGCTGTCACAACCAAAAATGTCTCCAGATGTTGCCAAATGACCCCTGTGGAAAAATTACTCCTGGTTGAGAACCACTGCCCTGGAGAGTCTAGAGGAGAGAAAAAAGATTAGGTGAAATCATCAGTAGGGGATCCCACCCCACGTTGAAGGTGGACAGACTAAGCCAAAGCTGGGGGAGGTTCCTGGGTTCTGATCTCTTGAGTTCAAGGAGAGGTGACAGACCTTTGCCTTCATGACCTTCCAATTCCGATGCCTACTGCTGGCAGCTCAGGGACATTAACTCTTACCTTCCTTTCTCAGTGACTTACAGCTCTTGCTTTCCAAGTGCCATGGTGTAGTGCTAGCACTAGAAATAAAGTTAGCATGTATTGAGAACTTAATGAGTGTGCAGCACTGTGCTGTGTCTAGGGCTTTATATTATCATATTTAGCCTCATCAATGATAAGAGCTAACATTTGTTAAATGTTTACTATAGGTCAGGGGCACTTAAACGAGGTTTTTTTTTGAGACAGGGTCTCACTCTGTCGCCCACACTGAAGTACAGTGACATAACCACTGCTCACTGCAACCTCAACCTCCTGGTTCAACTTATCCTCCTACCTCAGCCTCCTGGGTAGCTAGGACTACAGGAGCGCTACACTAGGAGTCTATTTTTTGTAGAGATGGGGTTTCGCCATGTTGCCCAGGCTGGTCTCCTTTTGGGCTCAAGTGATTCTCCTGCCTCGGCCTCCCAAAGTGCTGGGATTACAGGCATAAGCCACAGTGCCCAGCCCCACTTGTGAGTTCTTTATATGTTATTTATTCCTGTGATAACCCTATGAGCCTTTGAGGTACTATCTACTTTGTTTGTTTTTTTGAGACGGAGTTTTGCTCTTGTTGCCTAGACTGGAGTGCAATAGCGTGATCTTGGCTCACCACAACCTCTGCCTCCAGGGTTCAAGCGATTCTCCTGTCCCAGCCAGGAGCTGGGACTATAGGAATGCACCACTATGCCTGGCTAATTTTTTCTTTTTTCTTTTTTTTTTTCTTTTTAAGTAGAGATGGGGTTTCTCCATGTTGGTCAGGCTGGTCTGGAACTCCTGACCTATGGGAGTGAGCCACCATGCCCAGCCACTATCTATTTCATTTTACAGACAAGAAGACCAAGGTTCAGAGAGATTAGGTAATGTGCAAAAGGTCACACAGCTAGAAAGTGGTTGAACATGGATACAAAGCCAGGCAATCTGGCTTCACGTCATGCACTCTAACCTGCTTGGCTATCCTGTCCTGTGAGGGAAGTGGTATTATTATCCCTGTTTTGTAAATGAGGAAAGAGAAAACCAGAGATGGCGTATAATTTGCACAAGATCACAGTACTAAATGGATTACTACTCCATCTCCAGAGATGAAGGTTTGGGTGCAATGGCTGATGCCTGTAGTTCCAGCACTTTGGGAGGCAGAGGCAGACAGACTGCTTGAGGCCAGGAGTTTGACCAGACTGGACAACATTGCAAGACCTTGTCTCTACAGAAAATGAAAAGATTAGGCCATGTGAGGTGGCTCACACCTGTAATCCCAGCACTTTGGGAGGCCAAGGTGGGTGGATCACCTGAGGTCAAGAGTTTGAGACCAACCTTACCAACAAGGTGAAACCCTATCTCTACTAAAAATACAAAAATTAACTGGGCATGGTGGCAGACATCTGTAGTCCCAGTTACTTGGGAGGCTGAGACAGGAGAATTGCTTGAACCCGGGAGGCGGAGGCTGCAGAGATCCAAGATCATGCCACTGCACTCCAGCCTAGGCGACAGGGCGAGATTCTGTCTCAAAAAACAAAAAACAAACAAAAAAAAGATTAACCAGGCATGATGGGGTGCACCTGTGGTCCCAGCTACATGGGAGGCTGAGGCAGAAGTTTCGCTTAAGCCCATGAGGTCAGGGCTGTAGCGAGCTGTTTTTGCCACTGGACTCCAGCCTGTGCAACAAAGTGAAACCTTATCTGAAAAATAAAAAAATATATAAAAACAAATAAGAAAACAAAGATGCACGTTTGTGAGAGAACTTGTGGGGCAAGGAAAATAAGTATCCTTGAAGCTCAATGTCTTACAGGTGTCATGAGAGGTGTGAACAAGTACTAGGGGAACTCTGCTACTATGAACTAGGACAAGCTTTATCACCTTCTGGGGGCTCAATTTACTCATCTTTAAAGAGAGTTAAGATGGCAGCCTGAAACTAGGGAAAGGCGATGGACTCTGAAGTTAAATGAACCTGAACTTCAGAAAAGAAAGAAAACCATTCTCTTCTTTTCTCTTTTCTTTCTTTCTTTTTTTTTTCCAGGCAGGGTTTTGCTCTGTTACCCAGGCTGTAGTGCAATGGCACGATCAGGGCTCACTGCAGCCTCGACCTCCTGCGCTCAAGCAGTCCTTCTGCCGTGGCCTCCCAAAGTGCTGAGATACACCGTGAGCCACCTCACTTGGCCGGTTCTTTTAACTATGTGGTCTTTGAAGGCGTACTCTTTCTGGGTCACAATCTCCTCACCGGTAAAATGGAGATCGCAGTCATCTCATACGGTTATGAGAACTAAGCAAAACAAGTAAGGTAGGTTAAGTGTCCAGCTCAGAGCTGGACACTTAGAAGATTCTCAATAAAAAGTGGCTGCAGCTTTTGAAGATTCTGGCCTACCATAGCTGATCTGATTCTTAGTTGAATTTGTGAATCTGTGAGTCGAGCGCCCTCTCGTGTCCTCGTGGTGAATTACACCTAACAGATTTCAGCGCTCCCTTCTTTCCCTTCGGTTTTTTTCTGGAGCAGAAGCTGGTAAGTGAAGGGCTGCAAAGTTCCAAGAGAAGTGTGTGTCTCCGAGGTTTACTTTGGGTCATTGTGCGTGATGCTCAGGGCTTTAGGATTATTCGGGTGTATCCTGAAGCTCTGCTTGAGCGCTTAAGGCATATTCAGAGAGAAAAGCTAGACCTACAGCCACATGGGACTGAAGCAACAAACCTGCTGCTGGCAAAATGGGAAGGGAGGCCCAAGATACTTCTGGTTATCTAAATCATTTCCTCAATTGCAATGTTTCGTTTTGAGGGAAAGAGTTATGAACCCGTAAGATCAAAGAGAAATACAAAGTGAACTTAACGATTTGAGGTTGAAACAACAACAACAACAAACTCAGTGGAGGACTGAAGTAGGGGAATCCGGCGGAAGAAAAAAGCAAAAATACCAAGATAGCTCAACAACTGGTCAGACTCCAAAGGGCCAGAAATTGAGGAAACCACTGTTCCATCTGGAATGTTGAGAAAACAGGTGCTAAAGCCCAGGAGATACCATCCTTCCGGGAAGACCTTAGTGTTCATTGTGTGGGCTCACTTGGAGCTATAACAATAACTGCGGGTTGTTATGGTATTCACCCGGCTGCAGGAGCCAAGGTTGCTAAAACATCCTCCTAAGCCTCGGATAGTTCCGCACAATGGAGAATTGCATCACCCTCATGTGAACCTACTCCTGTAACCTAATCTTAGTTTTTCCAACTGTAAAATGGGGCTAACGATTGTCTCATTCTCATAGAATTGTTATTAAAATCGCCTTTCCACGAATGGTATTTATTCTTGTTACTGCAGTTGGCTAGAATTACGTGCCATAGGTATCTCAGGAAGCCCTTAAATTCCTCCACCGTAAGCCACGGGCAGTGATAGTCATCTACTGTAGTTTCTAGGAAGGCCAGCAGATTTCAAGAAGGCTGTTCGGCGGGAGAACCTAATGCCGGAAGCCTATTCACGAGAAACTCTTCCTTCCCGGACACTAAGCTGTGGCGAACCTCTCTGCCCTGCCTACCCCACAGCCTGCGGCTGGCGCTCGCGTTGTGCATTCTGGGATTGGTAGTTCCCAGGCCTCAATGTCGGCCTGCGCCGCACAGCTCCAGGAACTCGTTTTCCCAGCTTGCCGCGCGGTCGGTGGGGGTTGCATCTCCGCGACCAGGAAACGGGAAAGATGGCGACGGTTCCGCGACGTTGAGGCCGCGTTGGGCGGTTCAGACTCAGGGTGGTGAGTCCCGGGCAGAGGAGGCGGTTCCCACGGGCTTACAGAGAGGGCGAGAGTCGGGGCACGGCCGTGGCCCCTGCCTCTGGGACGAGGCGGGAAAGAACGCCTCAGGGAAGGAGCATGAACCCGGGAAGCTCGCGCTAGCAGGAGCGAAGGGGCCCGGGCCCCAGGGGTAGTGTTGGCTGCTGCGGACACAGGCCACGTCCCTGCACGATATTTTCCTCCCACAACTCTGCCCATGGGCACAGCGCCTGTAATACCCCCAGTCTGACCTTATTCTTTCATGCTTCAAGTAGCCTTTGCTGCAGCCAAACTGGAACTCTGACTTTTCTCAAAATCAGTCCATGCTTTCCCGCCTCTGCGCCGCGCTTATTATTTCTTTTGCCGGGAATGACTTCTTTTCCGCGTCCTTAATTACATATCTTCAAATTCTACTTAAAGGCTCATAAGTCACTTCCTCTACCAAGCCTTCCACCTCACCTTTTACAAGTGAAAGGAAACGCCTTTGAACACCCGTAATACTACAGCTGAGCTTTGGTACTATTCTTGGTATGTGTGTGTCTCATACTCCCTATTGTCCTTGTGCGTGCCTGTTTTTTTTTTGTTTTTTGTTTTTTTTCTAAGACGGAGTCTCGTTCTGTCGCCCAGGCTGGAGTGCAATGGCGGGATCTTGGCTCACTGCAGCCTCCACCTCCCGGGTTCATGCGATTCTCTTGTCTCAGTCTCCCAAGTAGCTGGGATTACAGGCGCACGCTGCCACGCCCAGCTAATTTTTTGTATTTTTAGTAGAGACGTGGTTTCACCGTGTTCTCCAGGCTGCCCTCAAACTCTGCAGCTCAGGCAGTCCACCTGCCTCGGCCTCCCAGAGTGTTGGATTAGAGGCCTGAGTCACTGCGCCGGGCCTCATACCACTTGTTCTAAAAACTTCCTGTGAACAGAATTTCCTTTTGTAACTCACATAGCGCCTAGCACTGTGCCTTGCATACAGTAGATGCTTGATAAATACTTCATAGAATGAAAATAAAGAATGTGCCCCTGCCCTGCAAGAACTGAGGACCCAGAAGATCTGGAAGTTTGAGAGGAAGGCTGCTGGGAAGCATGGCCAGAGTCAGCTTGGTTATTTGATCCTTGTGATAATAGAACCTGTAATAAAAGTTGCCTGTATTTACTGTCTTCTCCTTTTTCATTCTCTTCCAAACTCATTCCACTCAGGCTTCCATTCCCTTAATGCCACTGAAACAGCTCTTGTCAAGATCACCAATAATCTCCATTTTTCCAAATTCAGTGGTTGCTTCCCTGTCCCTTAGTCCCTCTCCACTTCGGTGGTACTTGACACAGTTGACCCCTCCCTCCTTGAAACATGTTTTTGGCTTCTTTGTTGCTGTACTCTTCTTTCTGTTTTCTCAATGGCTGCTGGTTCTTTACAGTTTTTTTCTCTTGTTCATCCTGTGCCTAACTCCTGTTAAAGTGTTCCAGAGCTCAATCCTGGATCTTCCTCTCTGCTATTTTTTTTTCTTTCACTAATGCTGCCTATTATTAAGTGTTCCATGGCTTTAAAAGCTATCTGTGTATTGGTGACTCAAGCTTTTGTCTACAGACCCTCTCTCCTGAGTTCTAGATTTGCATTTCTATTTGCCTTCCAGGAATCTCCACTTGGTTGTCTTACTGACATCTCACACTCAACCTGGCCAAAATGAAACTTTTGATTTTCACTTAAATCTGTTCCTTCCCTAGTCTTCTCCAGTTGGTTTGCTATGGCACCACAAACTGTCAGGTTGCTGGAAACTATAAATTTAGGAACTACCTTTGTGTCTCCTCTTTCCTTTTCTCCCTTCATCAGTAAGTCCTCCAGAATATGCTCTGATGCTGCCTAATTCTTTCCATCTCCATTGCCACCTTCCTAGAACAAGCCACTGCCATGCCTTGCCTAGACTACTGTAATAGCACTCTCAATGGTTGTGTATTCACTCTGCCTCTCTACTGTCTATTTTCTTGCAAGTCACTGAAGTATTAGATTGCTTCCTGTTTAAAGCTCTTCTAAGATCCCCATTGCAGTTAAAATCCAAGTTGCTCTACTCTGGCCTGTAACACATTTTCATGATCTGACTCCTGCCCAGCTCACTGAACTCATCTTGAATCAGTATTTCCCCCTGCATCATTACTTCCTAGGCTTAAGTGGTCTTTCTAGCTCAGCCCAGGCTCAGGTGATCCTCCCTGGGCAGGAGCGAAGGGGTCGTGGGCCCCATAGGTAGTATTGGCTCCTGGGGGCACAAGCTATGTCCCTGGATGATACTTTCCTCCCAGGCCTCTGCCTATGAGCTCTTGAGCACTTTTGAGCTCAAGCATTCCACCCACCCTCAGCCTCCCAAAGTACTAGGATTATAAACGTGAACCACCACACCTGGCTGATTTTGTTTGAGATGGAAGGAGTCTTGCTCTGTCACCCGAGCTGGAGTGCAGTGGCATAATCTCAGCTCACTGCAACCCCAGCCTCCCGGGTTCAAGCAGTTCTGCCTCAGCCTTCCAAGTAGCTGGGATTACAGGCGCCCAACACCATGCCCGGCTAATTTTTGTTTTTGTTTTTGAGACAGAGTCTCGCTCTGTTGCCTAGGCTGGAGTGCAGTGGTGAGATCTTGGCTCACTACAACCTCTGCCTTTGAGGTTCAAGTGATTCTCCTGCCTCAGCCTCCTGAGTAGCTAGGATTACAGGCAGGTGCCACCATGCCCAGCTAATTTTTGTATTTTTAGTAGAGACGAGGTTTCACCATGTTGGCCAGGCTGGTCTTGAACTCCTGACCTCAAGAGATCCACTCACCTCGGCCTCCCAGAGTGCTGGGATTACAGGCATGAGCCACTGCGCCCCTGGCCTCTGGCTGATTTTTAACTGTTTATAAATGTAAAATTTTATTGTTCAGAATAGACAGGAAGTCTTGCTATATTATCCTGGCTGCTCTCGAGTTGAACTCCTGGGCTCAAGTGATCCTCCCTCCTCAGCCTCACAAGGTGCTGGTACTGCAGGCATGAGCCACCAGGCCTGGCCACACAAATATAGTTTTCTTT